CAGAGGCAAGCATTCCAAAGAGTTCACTGTTGATTAATGATTCTGTTATTAATTATTCTTTTATGAAAGATGTGTCTTCCAACAAAGTCATTTCTCACATTATAATTGTTAAGGACTGAAAATAAACATAACTTTGCAAAAAAAAGAATGTTGAGATTGACCAATCAGAAGCAAGCATTTCAAAACGCTGTATAATCATATAAAATATGTAGAAAATTCTATATTTTTCTTCCATATTCAGTTATTTCTCAATTTGCAATGGTTGTAGATTAAGGCCCAATGCCAATTCTACTCCTTAGCCCTTCCCCTCGTTTTGCACGTTCATGTGAAGGGGTAGGGGTGTCCCAATTCTCTTTAGCTTGAGGCATAGGGCAAAGGGGAAGGGCTAGATACCCCTTCAAACTGAGATTTTTTTAGGACCACACTCGAAACCAAGGGATAAGAAAATTTCCCAGAATACAGCAGCCACAACGACAGCATAGCTGCACCCAGAAGTAAGAAGATGCACAAATTAGTATTTTTTGTTATTATTATGAATTTTTACAACAAACAAACACATGTTTTAATACACTTATAATCAACCGCGTTTATGTTTTACCGTCATGCTTAAAAAAAAAAAAAAAAGCTAAAATTAAAACTGCAAAGTTTTGCGATCTATAATCCCTAGTAGAGCTAAAGATCTTTGCCCGAACCAGACGGGACCTGACAGGTTTGGGAGGATTTGGGCTTAATTTCTATCATTTTAGACAAGGTCTGGCCACGCTTGGGCTTGCGCAATAAATGAACAGTCATGTAATGCATTTCGATAAGCGCAAACAGAGCAAATTTTGACTGCGGTGAGGCCAGCAGCCAAAAAAGAACAGTCTTAATTTAATTTATCAGAATAGAGTTTAGAATTTTTCCCAGAGATGGGTTGCGGCTGGAAGGGCATCCGCTGCGTAAAAAACTTGCTGGATAAGTTGGCGGTTCATTCCGCTGTGGCGACCTTGGATTAATAAAGGGTTTAAGCCGCAAACAGAGCAAATTTTGACTGCGGTGAGGCCAGCAGCCAAAAAAGAACAGTCTTAATTTAATTTATCAGAATAGAGTTTAGAATTTTTCCCAGAGATGGGTTGCGGCTGGAAGGGCATCCGCTGCGTAAAAAACTTGCTGGATAAGTTGGCGGTTCATTCTGCTGTGGCGACCTTGGATTAATAAAGGGTTTAAGCCGACAAGAAAATTAATGAATGAGTTTAAAATTTATTATGTTGCAATTGACCAATCAGAAGCAAGCACTCTAAAGTGCTGTGTATCGTTCAAAATATGCTCCTGTTATGAAAGAATTGTCTTCTTATTTAGTAATTTCTTCATTTTTAATTGCTGAAGACTAAACAAAACGTCATTATGCAAAAATAAGAATGTTGAGAATAACTAATCGGAAGCAAGCATTCCAAAGCGTTCCATGTTATTTTTATTATGAAAGCCATGTCTTCTAACTTAGTCATTTGTCAATTTGTAATTGACTACTAAAAATAAACATAACAATAATAAGAATGTTGAGATTGACCAATCAGAAGCAAGCACTCCAAAGCACTGTGTAATCATTGAATATATGATTCTATTATTAGATTTTTCTTCCTTGTTTCTTAATTTGCAATTGTTGAAGACTAAACAAAATCGTCATTATGCAAAAATAAGAATGTTGAGAATGACCAATCAGAAGCAAGCATTCCAAAGCACTGTGTAATCATTGAATATATGATTCTATTATTAGGTTTTTCTTCCTTGTTTCTTAATTTGCAATTGTTGAAGACTAAACAAAATCGTCATTATGCAAAAATAAGAATGTTGAGAATGACCAATCAGAAGCAAGCATTCCAAAGCACTGTGTAATCATTGAATATATGATTCTATTATGAAGGATTTTTCTTCCTCTTTAGTCATTTCTCAATCTGGAATCTACAATATGCAAAAATAAGAATGTTGAGATCGACCAATCAGAAGCAAGCATTCCAAAGAGCTTTCTGTTGATGAATGATTGTATTGTAAAAGACGTTTCTTCTAACTTAGTCATTTCTCAATTCACAAGTGTTGAAGACTGAAAAGCATGTATGAAATATATTCAAAAAAGTGCACCAGCTTACAGTGCAGCACATGTAGTAGTATTCGTATTACAAGTTCGAGTACAAGTTTCTTGTATTAATGCTCGTCTGGGTCTGGTTGTATATATTTGATTCTACAGCTCTGTAACCTAATCCTCTGCTTAATCAAGACTGCTTTTATGTGTGTAACTGGATTAAAATCACTTGTAAAGTGAACTGGAACATTTTTACTTGCTACAATCGACTGTTCAAAATCCTGCTTGACAAGAGTTTGACAGTCTTATGCTCTTTTTTTCTTTAATATAATCACCCAAGGCCATTCTGGAGAACTGAGCAAACAAATCTCACGTCAAGTTTTTTTTTTTTTTTTTTTTTTTTTTTTTTTTTTAACGGGTTCAAATACAAAAGATCTTTGTCAGGTGTACAAATTTTATTTAAATTTTTTTAATTAGCCACAAACATTTCAAATCAATCCCCCTCTCACCTCTTTACAGTTTGCATATGTCAAGATTAATAACAAGTTGTCATCGATAACCAGAAAGGTCGGCCTTACTGGTTTTTGGTGTAATTGTGTTAAGAGAATTGGAATGCGTTGATCAAATATGTCCTCATATGCATTTACTGTAAGAGAACAGTCTCTTAAATTGCAAATTGCGCAGTGTTTGTGTCTTTTTGACAAATTAAATGTTGGGTTTTTATATGTATTGTTCAACTATTTTAATAAGTAAATGATTGAGAAATGAAGTGAAATAGATTACGCATTTGTAAAATGATGGTATCTGGTAAACGAAAGGTTGTTGGACACTTTTCACAATTGTATCCATAAACCAGACTTAGACTTGGAACAGACTGTTTAGTTAAAAACAGATTTAAATCTGTTGTTTTTTATATGACAATTGTGTACTTAAGTCGTGTTATATAATAAAATGAATGAGTGGAAGTCCCCAACATTTTCTGTTTGTGGGTGTGTGTTTGCATGAATGCATAAGTCACAGCATGTCATGCTCCAAATATAAGTCAAAGTGTAATGTATTGAACGGGATGTTACAGATTTTAAGATATTCCAGTTGATTCCTGTGCAACCAGTGAAACAACTTGTAAACTAAAGCCTACAAAGTCTAAGGTACTGTATATTGGGAGTTTTGTATTCAGTACAAAAGAAGGCAAAAAATAATAATAATTTGCCATTGTGAACTGTATGCCAAAGCTAAGTCGCCTTCTCTGAATGTAAGAAGGTACACCCACTGGATGACTCTGGTCTACAAGGCTCTTCTGGGACTGGTGCCTTACCTAAGTTCCCTTCTTCATAATATGCGCCATGTGCTCTTCAGTCTGAACTAATAATGTCTGAGCTCATCCCAATCAAAGCTTTTTCCTCTATCCCTTTTAACAAACTACAAGTCTATTTCTCAAGGTATGTGTTTTTAACATATTGTAATGTGGTATAGCTGAACAACTAAACTGTATTTTTTTTTTTAAATTTTCAATTTATTATTAATATTATTATGTTTTCTTTCATAAGTTGTGTGTTGCGGACCTCTTGGCCAGGTCACCCTTGTAAATGAGATCTTGATATCAATGGGTTCTTATCTGATTAAATAAAGAAACACATCTAGACCACACACCAGCTGATTGGTGGAGATGAGACCAATTATAATATGGCAATGGTTAGGAGACCATGACGGACAGTGGGCAAGTTTGTCCAGGATGGCGAGGTTAAACCCCTACTCTTTTCAAAAGACATCCTGGGATTTTTAACAGCCACAGAGGGTTTAACTCTCATCCGAAAGACTGAGCTGTATAGAGTCCCCATCAATATAGTGGGGCATTAGGACCCACTGCTGGTCTCACCAACATCACTTCCAGCAGCAACCTAGCTTTCTCATATGGTCTCCCATCCAGGTACTGACCAAGCGCAGCTCTGCTTAGCTTCCGTGGGCGACCATGTAAGAGTTGCAGAGAGCTAGCTGGCCGGTAAGAAACAAGGTGAGATATTTGCAATGTGAAGAAAGAACAATTGAAATTATAAAAAAAAAAACTTTTATTTTAGCATTTTGTAATAGAAATAGGACAAATAATACAAATTATCAAACTTATATATACTTTTCTGTTTACATTTTAATAATAAAAGAAATCACAAAATAAAAAACGGCTGCCAAAATATCAGTGCTTCTTCATAAAGCTACGAGTCGTGCTACAGAGTTAACAAAATTGTATCATTGCTTATGAACAGTCTCACAAGCCAAGGGTATTTACAGACAAACATACAAACAAACTTCTATTAATCTTAACATCCAACCGGTGACCTACTTGGACCTTCAACATGACGTATGATCATTGATCACAGTCTCTCCAAAATATTTTAAACTGCAGCTCTGCCTTCTTTCTGTTTAGCCAGAGTAGGAGGGGTCCCATGACTGAGCTTGGTTTCTCCCAAAGTTTGTTCTTCACATCCATTGGTGGAGTTCTGGTTCTTTGGCACTGTGGCCTCTGGCTCTGCTTTGGGTCGGTGTAGCTGCTCTTCATTAGTTTGTCCTTCAAAAGTGACATTCAAATTCTTATTTGTGTTATCTAGAACTATACCAGCATACCACTATCACTTCAGCCTGCCTGATTTGCTAAATATGTTCTGCAATTTGCAAATATTATTAGGGCCTTTTATTGTTTTTTCTTCATCTGTGTAAAGCTGCATTGATGCAATCAACATTGTAAAAATAAAGATGACTTGACAAGCAAAGTTCCACTTCTTCCCTGAGCTGACCCTTTCGATGGATATGTACATTATAAACAAATGTTCCATTCACTGACATGCGTCCATCATGTGTATCCTCAGCATTGCTCTTTTCAGCTTATTCACTGATTTGTATTGAGTTATTTGGCAAGATTATGACATTGACCGATGATCACAAGTGCAAGTTCTCAAAACGTCTGCCCTCTTTCCAGTCTATAGGGCAGGTTAGCCAGAAGGAATTTGAGGTGGTCTGGTAGCAGAAGTGGGGAAGAAGGTATTTCCTTCGCCTCAGTGTTAGATGTTGCCTTCACCTCTGGTTTCCTTCCGAGCTTCATGGTCAAAGAGAGTGGAGATTCTTCACTGTAACTGTGGAGTCTGTGATTCATGCTTTCTTGGTTCTTTATCACAGGAACTTGCACCAGTTTGGGTTGAGAGGGTCTTGGTGCATCCCTTTCTAACGTAACTTTAAGAGAGTGGTTTACCTGATAAGAACTGAACATCTGGGGCTTTGAATCTGTCGGAACCCCATTGCCACCAAAGAGTCTGAGCTTCTTCATGGCATTATCTTGAGAGATGGGATCTGTCGGGTTTCTAAAAGCACTCTTCAGACTCAAATTGGCTGGCTCCTCAGCTGTGGATGAACTCTCTGAGCTCTCTGAACGTGATCGCACATGGAACTTGTGCTCGGGTTGTGCCTCGGCTTTGGTTGGGTCTTGAAACGCAGAGCCATTTGCTGTCAATCCCGGGTTGGAAATCATTCCTCTCCTTATGAGCTCATGAAGAAGCTTTAGAGGAATCTGTATCTCCATATTGCTGTTGGATTCCGGGATTGGGAGTCCAAGGGGATTGCTTCGGTGCACCAACTTGGGTGCGGGTGCACCAGAAGACTCTTCCTTCACCCAGTCTTTATGTAAGTCTCGTTCCCGGGACTTCATAGTGACTGCCTCTGAGTAGTGTGGTCTGCGGTTGAAGAGATTGACCGAGGGAGGACTTGGTCTCCTTGGGACTGGATTTGCATTGGAAGATGAGGTGAGGTCAATGACATCAGGCTTCGGTGGACTCGGTCCAGATCTTACGGACCCTTCTCCAGTTGATGTCTCATCAGCTGGTTCTTCTTGTTCTGCACCGTCTTCTGTACTTAAACTCCTTTGAGGGTAAAGAGAAGACGCTTTGTTGAGGAACTTGGGCTTTTTGGAACAAGGGCTGAAAGATGAAGGTGTGTCGCTCAATGTTTCAAGTCTGTTTTCTGTCCGGCTAAGGTTGAGAGGTTCCTCCAAACCAGCTGTTGACCTGTACTCATTAGCTAGGTCACGTAGTGTTTTTATGGACCGTTTGCAAATCTGAGCATCCATAGATGGTACACTCATATATGAAGCAGGCGTTCTGGGAAGATCATGAGAAGGGTTGAGGCTCAAATGGGGCAGGGTGGATTCCCGAAGAGCGATGTAATTGGACATAGGTGTGCTCCCGTGTGGAAAGAATGGACTAGGCATGCTAAAAATTGGTCTCTGCTCCGTGAACATACTCGGAGAGGTCTTGAGAGGAAAAACAGACAAGAGATGGACTTAATTAGTTTGGTGCCTGGTAGTTTTCATTCCTTGAATGCCACTGTGAGATGTCATACCTGAGGAAATACCGGGAGGTGTCGGAAATCTGGCCGTTTGTCATTTCTGGGGTACTCCTGCTCAAAGTCATGGTAACTGCTCGGATGGAAGCGCTTTTGGGGTCGAGGACTCCTGAAGACTAAATCATCCCTGTATCCAGTTTGGTGACACTCGTAAGGAAGAAGAAGCCTGGTCGGACAAAGAGAGGTTTGAAAATGTATTCATGAAATTTATGAACGTAACATGAACTTCCTTTTTCTTTAAGGTCTATTTTTAATTTTAAAAATAATAATTATAGGCTGGGTGATTCATTGCAAATGTGATAAAGCAAAGCTACAATTGTCATGCACATCTTGTCAGGAAAGCACAGTGTGATCAGTAGTAATTCTCTTTTTAAGGCTAGAGGGTTCTCTCATGAAGACACTAGTACAGACACCTAATATATGTATATCACAAGCCCAATGACCCCTTTAAAGTAACATGCACATACTTTTCATAGTGTCTGCGTGTACATGTGGCTGCGCTGGTGCTGCGTGGGTTTCCTCCAAGTATGTTGTAAACTTTTTTCCATAGCTGCTGTGTAGTAACCTGGAAAGTATACAAAAAACAGGTTAAGATTTAGATTTTGTTTAGTTTAGTTTAAACACATCAAAGTCAACAAAGATTTTTCCTAAGCAACAATTTGGTCAATATTAATCACGCTGACACTGACAGAATACAAAAACATGCATATGGTGTTATGCTTTGGCTGGAATAGACAATAAGGGATAGTTCAACCAAAACTGACAATTCTGTCATCATTTACTCATCCTCTGCTTGTTCCAAACCCGTTTGACTTTCTTTCTTCTGTTGAACACTAAAGAAGAGATACTGAAGAAAGCTGGAAACCTGTATCTACTGACTTCCATAGTAATATGAATATGTAAGTCAGTGGATACAGGTTTCCAGCTTTCTTCAAAATATTTTTGTGCTCAACAGAATACAGCATCCAAATTTATTTTATGTGGCCTTAACTAATATACTCACACTGAAATTAATAATTCGTTACAATGTGTAAATTACATGTTTTACATTGTACTTATGCTTTATTAACTCTTTACTTTCTGCTCTACCAAATGCTTGACCATATTTTGACTGTTTTAAATGATGTCTACTAAAGGTTTCCGATAAAGTTTTGAAACAAGAATGAGTTTTCATTTTTTGGGTGAACTAGCCCTTTTAATAATCTTTACAAAAATTAATTTTGAATACAATCAGTTTCATTAATATTGTGTTCTGTGTAATTTGTATTTTTTTACCTGCTGATAGCCTCCCAGCTCCTTCACAGTTTTGTACATTAGGAACATATCGACTGGGAAGGAAAAACAAAGTATACATGTTAATATCCTGATATGTGTTTATTTTTTAGATCAAGAGTGTTTAATCCTGTTCCCCAAAAGCCAATGTTTTGCAGAATTCAGCTTAACTAGAGGCTTCTCTCTCATTTTCTGTCAAACTCTGCATTACAGTGGCTTTTTCCCCCTGGAGTTTCACGTATGTCTCTCGCTCACTCTGTTTGAAGCCTAGATGAGGTATTCTCTCAATAGGAGTTCCTCTGTCTTTCATAAAGAGGTAGAGGTCTTTGAGGAACCTCTCTTCCGACATCTCATCCCCCAGTTCTGTGCTCCTCTCCTGCGGGACGTCCTGCTCCATCATGCTGACCTGGAATTACAGTATCAGCATTTCAACACTCCACGTATTGGATCATTACAAAGGTAACATTTTATTAATAGTATTGTAGACAACTTGGTAAATATTTACACAAAGTTAGTTTTTGTTTATTAGTGTTATAGATGGGACGTCCCAGTTTGGTGTCGGCATCAAATTCATTAAACAAAAGTGATTTAAATGCTTGTTTAATGCTTCAAAGGACTGTAGTTGTAAAATGGCCAAAAAAAAAAAACAATTGGTAACTATCATATGATATGATCATCATTTTTTTTTTGCTCGGGGAAAAAAATAAACAGGACACGCTGTAATTTAAAGTGTAAAAATAGTTGTTAGGACTATTTATTTTGATGCTTAAAACCTTTTCATTTTGACCCATTTACTGTAAAATAATAATAATAAGATTATTAAATCTAAATGATGAACATACTGGAATTATATGCAAATATATTTAATATTTTAAAAATATTCAATTTTAATACACTTATTTTAACAAATAGGCCTACATTTTAAACGGCCATCCTTTTTGGTGGATATTTACTGTCTGCTGCAAATCATTAAGCAATACAATTGACTAATAATTAAATTATCAATATTAACTGTTTAAAAAAACAACATAAGTAGACATATTTTACATTTAACTTCACAACTAATTTTGATTGTGGCATTTAATTTCATTTGAGACAAACGTTTAATGGGTAATATCTGTTTCAGTTATTTTAGAATGCCTTATATGTGAATAAAATGTCCATTTATTATAATTTATCTTCAATAACTTGGTATTTCCTTATTATCATCCTAATAAATAAACCCCTTTGCGATAGCCAATCTAACTTTCTTCCTTTGATTCGAAAGATGCGTGTGTCTGTTTATGTGTAGAGATTAATATCTTAATCATGAATAATCAAGAACATCTGAAACACATGACTTAACTATCATAAGCACTTCGTGTACCATGACTTTCGGGTAAAAGTTATTAATCTAAACGCGTCTGACGCACACGATTCTTATCCGTGCACGAGTAGAAAAGGCGGCTTGACGGCAATATTAAATCTCTTATTGTTAACGACTCATGACACCTGTTCTCATATTTCTTGTTTTTAACAGGTGCATGTTGATGGATTTCCTGAATGATGTCTGAAAAGCACCACCAAACCTTAACAAATGTTTGAAAAAAGAGCTTCTAAATAGGTATTTATAGTTCAGTGAAGTAACTTTTCCATCTAAAAGTTATTTTAGATTCACACACACAAAACTACGAGTTCACTCTTAAAAGTACAGTTCACCCAAAAAAATGAGTTTACAGTTTATTCAGTCTCGAGTGATTCCAAACCCCAGCAAACAATTTTGTGTTTAATAGACCACTAATAGACATCTAAACTAGACAGCTAAAACAAGGCTAATTTTGGACTGTCAGTGAAAATCTAATAGACATCTAAAAATACCCCAAAACTAGACTAGTTGTCAAATAGACAGATTAGATCGACAACATAGTGTGGTCATTCATTTCTGTTCATTTGATGAATAGTCTAGTTTTGGCATATCTTAGACGTCTTCACTGACAGCCCAAATTTAGCCTGGTTTTTAGCCAAGATGATGTTTAGACGTCTAGACATCTTTTAAAAACAAAAACTGCATACTGGGAACTCTTTGAGTTTCTTTTTTTCATTCAACAGAAAAGACAGTGTTATGAAGAATGCTGTAAACCTGTAACCACTGACTTCTATAGTAGGATAAGCAAATACTATATGGTCTCAATAGTTAAAGCTTTCCAACCTTTTTATAAATATTTTCTTTTGTGTTCAACAAATTAAACTTATACAAGTTTGAAGTAAGTGAACGGTGAGCAAATGATGATTTTTCATTTTTGGGTGAACTAATGTTTAAATATAAAGGTCAAAAAAAGGTTTTCGCAAGCACAGTGCAAATGAAAATCAATTCTTGATTTCTGAAAAATAACCATTTAGTCAAAATATTTTAAAAGAACCATTTGTATTTCTGAGTAAAACACGTTAAATAAGTTAAAGACTTTTACTGGATTTATGATATGATGTCTATTATTCAGATGAAGAGACTCAGATTTTTACGGACTAGCTCCATGAGAAAATGTTTGCCTACTTGGGGTCAACTTCTTGATTTATTTGACAAATCTACATCTCAAGAGCAATCCACTGACCCCTCTGAGGTTTAAACTATACACCCTCACTAGTTTTGATTGTATGTTTTCTTTGTTGCTTTCTTTTATATTGTCTTTTGTTTGTCCAAAGTACGAGTCAATGTTTGTTCTTGTTCAGTGTGTGTATATATATATATATATATATATATATATATATATATATATATATATATATATATATATAATATATATATAAATGCCTAAAATAATTTTTTAAAAAGTTAAAGATTTTTTACCCACACAAAAAAAAAGCCTTTTAGAATTTGCGAACGTTAACAAACTATGATAAATAAAAATAAATAAACTTTGATTTTAAATGTGTTCTTTTAAAAACTGTTCACTGAAAGGTTATTATGAGAGTCCAAAATAGTTGTGAAAACCTCAATTTTTAAGTCTTTTTCTTTCTGGATCCAGTTATGAATCAGGAACCCTAAGAAATTTTAGGCTTTCAAATTGCACACACAGAAAAAGGGGGCTTTAGCTTCTTTGTGTTAATTGCAGTGCTATGTAGTACCACTTACATTAACTCCTAATCATACACTGTTAAGCCCAACAAGTTAAGGTAACTCAAAATATTTGAGGAAACCGATTTGGAACAAACCATTTGAGTTCACAAATAAGTACTGTGAACTTAATCCATTTGAGTAAACAAAGCAATTTGAGCACAGTAACACCCAGTAAATGAAGAGAACTCAAACCAACTGAGTACTGTAAAACCCAATAAGTTAAGGCAACTCAAACTGTTTGAGGACACTGATTGCTACAAACCATTTGAGTTAAAAATTTATCTATATGAGTACTGTGAACTTACTCCATTTAAGTTGAATAAGGTATTTAATTACCTTCAACACTGAGTTTAAAACTCTTTTTTACATGAGTTGAATTAACTTACTGTCAAATTTGAGTTAACTACTCTCATTTCATTTGATAAAGTTGACTGATTTACAGTGTAGAGGAACTGATTTTAGTGTTTTGGTAAGTTGCTACATATCACCCTCTTTGAAGATATAGGTGCTATGATTGCCACCTACTGTAAAAAAACACATCAACAATGCTAATCATTTGATGGCAATCAAAGCAACATCAAACCTTACATCTACTATTAATTACAGCACAGCCCTTTTTGATACCAAACTAATTTAAATGCATTGTAGAGATGCAAAAACCAATGTAAATTTAGAACTGAAGCTTTCAGATGAATAAAACACCTCTTATTATACTTTTTGTGTCATTATTTTGGTAGTCAGGGACAAAGTTTTGACATCAAATCGATGTACATGGTGTGTTTTTTGTGGTCAATTTACTGGTCAATTTACTTAATCACTATGATTTATAAACATCAACCAGCGCTGTATAGATAAGCTGTCGAAGGGATTACTTGACTCAATCAAGCAATTAGTTTGTCTCATTGATAACTACTAATCCACCACTTATGATGACTGTCAATGACTAACTGAGATCAGCCAAATTAGTTCATTAACAAAACAGTTCAGTTTTACAACAACACAACTTTTGTAAATACACTTTACAACTCATAAACATGAGGAAAGTGGATGGAATCTTAATAAATCTTAAATTTAACTTGGAATCTTAATTTAAATACTTTAAATTGTACGATCAAAAATAATCTCTGGATAAATGATCATCAGTTGTGTCTGACACAATAAAGAAAGCAATATGATTTGGATCCTCAGGATATTGGAAAATTGCAGAAATCCACTTTTCAACCCGTCTATATAACGAAAGTCGACAGAATTCTATACTACCTTTAATTGTGTGGGAAAAAAAACTAAGTGTGGATGAAATATCATTTTTTTTTGCCTGATATAATAAAACAAAGCAAAATTTGGATCCTCAGGATGTAATATTTTGGAAAATTGCAGTGTAGTCCAGTTTTGTTTTGACCGCAGTGTGTTTTATTTTTTCCCAAGAATATCACACAGGTTTGCAGTATAATGAAGTAAACAGTTTACAGAATGACTAAAATAAAATAAATCAAGTCACCACCAAGTTAGCATCATCATCATCATCATCATCATCATAATCATCATCATCTTACCTGTATCCTCAATGATTTCTCTGTGTTGGATGGTGTTATTGGCTCCTCAATGGAGATGTATGTAATCCAGAAAGAGTAGTGTAGAAGTGAATATTAAGCGGTTGGTTAAAGAGACGTCCTCAATCTGTCCCTGCAGCGGAGTGAAATCAGGCCCTCTGAGCGCTGCGATGTCTATTCAACCGTCTTCCTTTCAGGAATGTGGCGTTGGACTGGTTCTTCCTGTTCTCTCAACAGATGCCAAAAACCTCAGTGTATAAATATCACTGATAATTACCCTGAGATTATTACATTAATATTTAGTCATCAACGTTTGTTCTTCCCAGGAAGACCTGGCCATTATGCGCCTTATTAATTCTCTTTTCTCTTTTAACAGCGCATGAAGTGATTTCCCCACCCTGACATTATTAAGTGTGAATGACATCACGCTTTATAATAATGTGCAGGTTATAGAGATGATGAAATGAAGTGCTGTTTATAATTAGCGCTGTTTATAATTAGAGTATTAGTTGAGTGAATTGACTTTGATGTCACCATTTGTGTTATTTTAGGGTCATTTTTCAATTCATATTTCATTTTTTAGTTACATACAATTGAAGTTAGAATTACCCCCCCCCCCCCCCCGTGTTTATTTCCCCCCAATTTTTATTTAATAGAGAGAAGATTTTTTTCAACATACAGTATTTCTAATCATAATAGTTTTAATAACTCCTTTCTCATAAAAGATTTGTTTTATCTTTGCCATGATGACAGTAAATAATATTTAACTAGATATTTTCTAAGATACTTTTATACAGCTTAAATTGACATTTAAAGGCTTAACTAGGTTAATTAGGTTAGCTAGGCTGGTTAGGGTGATTAGACGAGTTATTGTATTACGATGGTTTGTTCTGTAGGGGCTAATAATTTTGTCCTTAAAATGGTGCTCAAAAAATTAAAAACACTTTTATTTTAGTCGAAATAAAACAAATAAGACTGTCACCAGAAGAAAAAATATTATCAGACATACTGTGAAAATTCCCTTGCTCTTTACTTTAATTTCTATTAAAACATATATGAAAACATGGAAGCGTATTACCTTGTTACATATGCAATAAAAATTACATTAAATGACATTTCGTCTTTTAAAACTTATCATAAATTATAAATAGGAATTTTTATTTGTCATTTTTTATTGAATTTCTTCTACAAAATTAAAATCTATATCTTTGAGTATTTCTAAGATTTCTAGACATCTTTTTTGCTCAGATGTTAGTTTTTCATTCAACATTTTCTCAGTTATGTCTCATTTAAGTATCAACTTTACATTATAAACAACTCGCAACACAAGATTACAGAAATAGACATTAACATGCAACTATAATTTGTGTACCACATCATTTGCCTAAGGAAGATATTTGCTTATTTTGGGGTCTGTAAGTTAATTAATTAATTTTTACTGTTTGTCTGTATGGTAATGGGCTAAAGACTAAATATGCTGATTTGTTTTCATCACCATCCCTCAATATCTGTATTTAATCACTATTTTAATAATAACTGATTTCATATAAAAAATAGCGCATAATCTTTCATCCTCACTCAACATATAATTACATGCCGTTTAAACAGTTTCATAGATATAAATGCTGATAACTGGTCACAATCATTTCATTACCTTTAATATAGCAAATGTGTGTGCAATGCTTATTAATAAAGCATTGATAAAGTGGTTTAAAGCAGGAGTTTTTAGCCTGCGACCCCCATAATAACAATGCCAGTGACTCGCGCCCCCCAATATCCTCTAAAGTGGTTATAAATATCTAAACCTTTCACACAGCAGTTGCACACATACCAATAGGCCCAAGTCTATTCATCTTTTATTTTTGAAGAACGCCACTAGGTGGCCATCCTCTATGTGCAGTCGTGGCTTGTATTTATTTTGAATGTACAGTTTGTGCTGTAAAGGTGTCGGAAAGTTTAACCTGGTGCCATAAATTCAATGACGGTATCGCTGTGTCTTATATATCGTAATCACCCCAGGGGTCGCAAAAACAAAACATTTTGAAAGGCTAATGGCTTTTTAGTTGCATGTTGTTATTTAATGTTGATTATTACCATGTTAAGAATGTTACTATTAACTACTATTTTGTTCTGCAGTAGGTTATGGATAAATTATGGTAATTCTAATAGTTTAATAAAATGTTGATTTTTGGAAATCGCCAAGCGACCCCCTACCCTCATTGTCCCGCGACCTCCCTAGGGGTCCCCACTCCCACTTTGAGAACCACTGGTTTAAAGTGGCAAAAGTAAATAAAAAAGGACAAGGGATTAGTATTTTCATCTTTTGATAGAGACTTTTAATGTGTCATCAAATGATTCTTGCTCTAAAAATGCTTGAAATCTGGTTATACAAACTACTGCTGCACTGATTGACATTGTAGTGGGCGTCTCCTGTAAATCATGATAACAATACACGATAATCACTGTTTTGCAGCAGAAAAAAGATTAAGAGAAACAGCAATTATCTATTGAGATTATTACGCTTATGATGCGTGAAACGTTTTTTTATTGTCCACCCCTGACAAAACAGTGAAAGTCAAAGGGGTCCAGAGCTTTTTATTGCAGAAGAAAGTAAATCTTAAAGCATCAAACTTTTTGATCTCTATTTGATCCCACTTCAGTCTCAAAGTAACAATAAAGGTGTTTCTGCCTCAAAAAGTCAGTTTTGTTTGGCGGATTGTGGTTTATACAGGCATAAAATGATCTAATCCTGCAGGTGTTGCTTTAGTCATTCGCTAACAATGAGGAAAAAAGAACTACAAATAAAACCAGTTCTCGCGTTTTCCTCCGCAATAAAAACACGAGTGCAAAATATGCCACTATACAAACAACATCAGATAATCAGGAATGAAATTATGTAAAGTCCTGAGTGTTGAGTAGCTGTAGAAATGTTAAGTCCATCCGTCATCTTTACACACTGATTTGTGGACACCTGACAGACTCTGAAGTGTGACGGTGTTGACGTGTTTGTTAGTGTTGTGCTTTTATTTTTGTGCTTGTTTTAAGGTTTATGAATAAGAATATGAATATCCTTTCTTTGTCTTGAATAACCTGTTTTATGTATTTCAATAAAGGGCTGTTTTATGTATATTACATTTTTTTTAGAGTCATTTGTTCTTTTTATTTATAATTTTTTCAATGTACTTTTGATAAGTTAATTGACGAAAGATTATTTTAAACATTTAGGTTATGAATGTAGTCCAGTGTTAAACTATTTACTTTGCAATTAGCAGAGGGGAAAATGTCTAAGTTTACTGTAATACCACAATTTGTATGGTATCAGGTTTAAAAAAAAATTTGTTTCTTTATTTTATTTTATTTATTGTATTTTATTTTGTTTTGTTTTATTTAACTTCTATTTTATTATATTATTTTATTTTATTTCATTGTATTTGACTTCACTTTAATTTAATTTTATTATTTTATTAAATAAAATTTTAATACCGCAGATTGAATGGTGTTTGCTTTTTAATTTAATTTAATTTAATTTAATTTAATTTAATTTAATTTAATTTAATTTTATTTTATTTTATTTTATTTTATTATTTATTTTAATAAAATTATTTATTTTATTAAATTTATTAAATTGATTGATTGATTGATTGATTGATTGATTGATTGATTGATTGATTGATTGATTGATTATATATATATATATATATATATATATAGACACACACACACACACACACACACATACATATATATATATATATATATATATATATATATATATATATATATACATGTTAATTTGCATATTTATTCATTTAATATTTTATTCATGCAGGAATTTATGGATTTATTTATCAATTTATTTATTTATTGTTTTAGCAGATTTCATTCTCCAAAAATACCACAGTTTGGGTGGTATTTTTTATTTATTTAAATTAATTTATTTGTTTAATTAATTTATTATTTTATTTTAATTGCGTTATTACTTCATTCTTTTTATTTGACTTGTAATTTAATTTAATTAATATTATTTTATTTTGAAAGTAAACAAAATGAAGTTAAAAAAATTGTAGTTTCATTTTTTGTTTACTACAATATCCTTGACTGGCAAGTAACATTTGGTTCAATATTTTGATTTGTTAATTAAATTTTTATTGTATTTTTTATTCTTAATGTTAAATTAAATGGAGTAATGTTTCTTATTCAACTAACTAAAAAAAGATAGTCTAATATTTTTAATAGATTTTTTTTATTTAAATAATAGGTCTAATTTATTATAATAACGCTGCTTTCAGCATGATATTTTGGTTTAATATTTTGTCATTTTCTAACTTTATAGTTCTAATTGCAATTTGTTTGATTACACAATTGTATAATATATAGAAATATTTTGAATCATGCATTTTAACATGCAGCTTTATGATTTATTTAACAAAAAGAGAGTCTAATTGTCCGCTAGTTAATGTACAGTATTTACTCAAATGAACTAAATATTAGTAATACATTTGTTATACTATTTATTCATCATTGTTAACATTAGTTCATGTTATTTAAGTTAAATATGTTAGTTCATAACTAATGTCAACAAGCACAACTTTGGATTTTAAGAATACATTAGTTAATGTTGAACTTTGATTAATAAATGCCTGACAAGATTATTGATACTTAGTTAATGTTAGTAAACACATTAACTAATGGACTATTAATCTAAAGTATTACCAGAAAGAGAAAGAGAAAGAGAGAGTATAAGTGAAACATAAAATATTTTGTTTAATAAACTGATTTAAGATTACATTCCAAATGAATATGGCATGACGTATTTACATTGAAGAATATATAAGGACATCGAAAGAAATTTGTCGAGCCTCATTTCCTGGCTGTTCAGTTTGTCTGGCAGATCTTGATGAGCAACTAAGTGAGACGACAGAATGACTGGCAGTAAATCTTAAAACCCGTTTCCTGGAAGCGTCATTTTTCAAAAGACATTCTTCTACGTTTTTCTTGTTCATTCCACAACTGTCTAGTCATTGTTCACTATTTCTATACATAAACAAGCATACATAGATATTATTCTTGCAGTGGTCTGTTTTGTTCAAAAGGCCGCACTAAGTCGTATGAATGCAGGACAATGCATGAATGTAGAGCGTACAT